GCAATTGTTTATTACGCTCCACGCAATATTGCTGCAATTCTTGATACCACTTTTTCCACCCTGTGTCTTGAACTGACGGCTCGGCTGAAAATTGTTTCTCAGAAGATCGATTCAATCAATAAATGTAATGATTTTGCTCTGGAAGAACTAAGGGACGTGAAGATGGCTTTGGTAAAAATTCAGGAGGCGAAGGTGTTACTTGAACAGCAGTGGCAGAAGTTCTTTTTTCTCTACCTCTTGCGCCAATTCTGCTCGATCCTGTTCATCGGAATAATTGCTATTGCCATGATTTCTAAAAATAATTTCACGGTAGCGGGTTTCTATCTGTTTGTCACCCTTCTAAGATGCATTGACCTGGCTAAAAGTGCAGATCGACTAAATTTAGAAGTGATTGTAGACTAAAAGAAATAATATCCCATTAATTTCGACTTTAAAAATTTTCAGGGAGAGAAAGTGCTGGCTAAATGCTTTTCTTTGGTGTCACGGAAAAACTTGGATAACCAGATTTACAGCAATGAGGTAAAAAAAAATCGCAAAGAAAAATTAAATATTAATAAGTTAATAATCGAAATAATAATTGAAGGTTACAATACTGGTCGAGTGCGCAAAAACACAAAATTGGAGATTTTCCGTGTTCAGATTTATGTACCTGGATCTACAAAACATGTTTATGGCAAGTTTTCCAAATATAAGATGACTGCGTGGTAAAAACTCACATATTATAACTTTCAGGCAATGGCAGGCGTCACAAATTACTTATTCGTAATCTACCAACTTAAATAAATTGGACAATATCTAATTACAAAAAGAAGAAATAAATTAATTCATACTATAATTTTATACTCAAGTAGACATAATTATTAATTATTTAGCTCATTGTCAGTAACAAAGAAAATGTAGGTGTGTGAAAAACTTATTTTATTTTTATTATTAATTGTCACTACAATCAATTAATTTAATAATTTTAATATTGTTTTAATATATAAAGAAAAGTAAATTAATCGTTAGATTCATTGTGTCATCAAACTCATTAACATAAAAGCATCTGATGGAATTGCAATCAATAATTTTTCTACCTACTTGTTGTGAAATAATCAATATTATTTTTGGAGTGCTTTCAAAACGAATTTTTTGGTTATTTGAAAAAATAATAAACTTATCTAATTTTCATGATAATTATAGAACTCAAATATTTAATTTTATTTTATTAGCTAATATGTAATAAATATATTTTTTTTAAATATTTTAATTCACTGTTGCGAGCAACAGCTACTGTTACATAGTATGGAGGTAATTAATCATCTGGAAATTTTAAACAAGTTTTATGCGCAGCCACTTTTTACTTCTACAAAACTTATCGACCATATTATGCAACCCGCACCGCATGTGCGGCAGTTAAGGTATTAAGTTGTAATAATTTTATAATATTACATTATATTACATTTTGTTAACTAAAACAAACTCCTCTCTTATTTTTGGCAACATGTTTACTGATTGAAATTTAATTTATATTATATTTACTTTTTGTTGGCATATTAAAATGATGATGGAAGTGCGCCACATTTTAAGTGGCTTTAGATAAAAAATTGCCTTTAGAGTTCATTACCCAATCGATGGAATATGCTGCTGTTGTCCAATCGAAGTCCGCAAAACTGTATTGCACTCGAGTTGATTGTTAAACCATTAGCTTTTTAGTTTGACTTCTTATACGTTTATTCATCATCACGTCAGTTTGTGCTCAAAATGTCATCATTCAGGTCACTGCGACCTATGATGGTGTTTTTGAGACTTATTGGAATTTTACCTTATTCAAAACTCCCGCAGGTCGAGATAAGCTTTTGGACCAAAGTCGTTTCTCTCTTGGTCCATGCTGTTGTGCAGTGCATGCATATTCGAATAGCTGTGAAGAGCGTCAAGGACATGGAGGGCTCTGACCATTTTTCGTTTAAAATTTACATTCTGATGTTGTTGAACTCGGCTGTCTACATTTTAAGCTATATTTGGATATATTTTTGCATTTGCGTTAACTTGCTTTCACGATTTTTAAGAAAATTCTGTTTTTTTCTGGATTCGACTAAACTAGAGTATTGTCAAGCAAGCAGAATTAAAACGAGATTGTTTATGGAGATTTTGGCATTTATTGTATTATACGTTGGAAGCATTTTGGATATGAGTTCACCAATTGATGCAATTGTTTATTACGCTCCATGCAACATCACTGCAATTCTCGATGCCTTTTTTTCCACTCTGTGTTTCGAACTGACGGTTCGCCTGAAAATTCTTTCTCTGAAGATAGATTCAATCAATAATTTTGATGATTTTGCCCTCAAATTGAAAGAAATAAGAGACGTGAAAATGGCTTTGGTCAGAATCCAGCAGGCGAAACAGTTACTCGAGCAACAATGGCAGAAGTTCTTTTTCCTTGATCTCTTGCGCCAATTCTGCTCCATCCTATTCATTGGAATAATTTCAATAGTCATGCTTTCTAACAAAAATTTCTCCGTTGCTTTCTTCTATCTGTTTGTCACCCTTGTAAGGTGTATTGACCTCGCTCGAAGTGCAGATCAACTCAAAGTAGAAGTGATTGCAGACTTTGAAAAAATTATTCTGAACTAATTTAAGCTTTTCAAAAATTTCAGGGGGAGAAAGTACGTGCAAAATGCTTTTCCTTGGTGTTGCGCAAAAACTTGGATAACAAGATTTACAGCAACGAGGTAAAATGAATTGCAAAGCAAAAAGCAGCTGTTAATAAAACTATTTGAAGGCTCTCACGTTGGTCGAGCATGCAAAAACACAGAACTGGCGATTTTCCGTCTTCAGATTTGTACACTTGGATCTTAACAATATTTTTATGGTAATTATTATAACATCAGAAAAAAAATGGAAACATAAAATTTACAAAATAAAATTTTCAGGCAATGGCAGGTGTCACCAATTATTTGCTTGTAATTTATCAACTGAAATAAACTAGAATTTGTAAGCACTGCTCAATTAAAAAAAATAATAATAATAATAATATGGAGGATTTTTAAATTTTCCGTTTTGCTCATGTTGCACATAATTAATGATTTGGTAACATTATCAAGAAAAAATATAAAAAATACTAAAAATCTGTTATCTGTGAAATAATTAATGTCATTTTCACTTTCAACCATGTGTAAACATATATTGATCGAGTGATTGATTGTGTCATTAACTTAAAAGGTGGCTCTAATGAAATAGCAATCAATAATTTTCCCGATAAAATCTATATTATTGCATTAAATGATGTGTTACTTGCAAGGTGTAAAATAATTTTGGACTTGTCAGCGACTGCTTCACGGAAGCCTCTTTTTTCTTTCCTTCTCAAACTCATGAACTTTAAGGGTTCTTTACAAAGTTTCAAATCAATTACTTCCGGAAAATTCAACCTGTGGAAGCTTTATCAAGCCGGATTCTTTTTAATATTTTCGACGCTGTGCAGAACTTAAATGTGGTAGGAAAAAAAATTATGCAATTTAACACATCGATAGTACCTTCCGTCAACATAAAAATTCTAGCGCTCCTCACCATCATGCGCCTTTGCCAACAACTCTGCTGAGGTAATAATTTTTCAAATTAATTTTTATTTTCATTTTTCATATTTTTTTTTTTATTAATTTTTTAACAAAAAAAAAATCAAAATTGTGAAATTTTAACTGGACTTACATTGACTCCGACAAGTCAATATTAAAAATATGCAATTATTATTCATAATATTTATTAAAATAAAATATAAGAAATATTTGTTAAATATTTTGAGTTTAAAAAAATTATAAATTAAAAAGATTTTATAAAAACAAGATAAAAATAATTAAAGTGTTACTTTTTAACAATACAACAGAGATCAATTAAATTGATTATAATCGACATAGAGTGCTGTGGAAATAACTGAATGCAAAATGAATACATACGATATTATATTGACCATTCGTTTCATTCAATCAAACGAAAATGACATGGCGCTTATTATTTAAAAAATTCCAACCCCATGTTAAGTTAGCGGATGAAAATGGCAAAGACAAATTTGTAAACGAAAAATTAACTTTGATCTTATGTCTACAGTTTGAAGCACTCTCATGACCGTGTCAGTGCAAAAAGGCTGCTTTCAATTTTCGGCATGGGGCCTCTTCGTTTTGGACCTGCAACTCTTCTTCGTCGTAATAATTGTATTGACCCGCCGTCGACCTCGGCCAATTTATTTTGAATTTTATATCAATTTCGCTTGCAGGCACTAGGAGCCATCATATGGTGCTCGTGATCCAGTTCAAATAAAATGCAACTTTTGATCTGTGGACTGCGCTCGTTGTGGGTGCAGCTGCTCTTATCTCTTTGAGATAAGATTGAAAACACTCATCGCTGAATTCCCTCGAATGTTACGCAAAAACGGATCGATAGCACGGAGCGACCGAGTGAATGTATGTCGTGTACCTGCCAGATTTCATTTCCAACCCGTTCAATTTGCATGAGAGAAGGATTAAGATTTAATTTGATCGGCAAACACGCGGAGCTGTGTGCGGATTTTCGCTCTCGACGGGCCAAATTGAGCGACGTGATTTGCAATTTCGCTGTGGATAAATCGAGTTTTAAATTAAAAAAACTAAAAATTGTTTAATTTCTTAAAATATACAAATCATACTTTGATTATTTCTTCGTAATAATTATAGAATTTTTAATTAAATAAACATATTATCTTTAAATCTTTAAATTTTATTTTAACTCTTGAAAGTGCTTGATATAATTTTATTCAGGAAACTCGAATAAGATATACCTGTAACAACATTCTTTTGTTGTAAGCCGTGCAGCCCCAAAATAGTCTACCGGAAGTGCAAAGTCCCGTGACACCCTCTGGTCGTCATGTCCGAGCACTCTCCGGTAATGATTGACGAGCGGATGTCGGCCAAAGGCGCGCGACAAATTCGTTGGCCGTCCGTCAGCTGAGCGCCGCGAGTGGAGGGGCCACTTGGCGTCGAGCACCGCCGAGTCAATGTTTCAGATTCAGTCTTGGTGAGCAAGTGCTAGTGTGTGGAGGTGCCGAAGGTTTTGCGCCTCACCAGCCGACATGAAGGGCCGCGTGCTGCTTTTGGTGGTCGGCGCCGTGGTGTTGATTAGTGCCGGCGCCGCGTTCGGCGCCTCCCTGTTCTCGCTGGACGACGAACGCAAAGCGGCGCAGAAACTCGAGCTGCTCGACTGGGACCTCGAAGCCGAGGAGGACGGGTGCGACAATGTGCAGACCACCCTTTGGTCTTTTCTGACAAAGCCAGATGATGACGCGATTGCTAAAGAAAGAGTAAGATTATAGCAAATAATATAATATTTAATTTAAATTTAGCTTTCTTTATCAACTTAAATCAAATTTAAAATTATTTTTCTTTATCTTTCATAAAAATATCTGTTTATTAAATGTTTTTTCTTTTAATTTCATGCTTAACCTTTTAAATGTGTTGATAATACAAATTAACAGAAAGTGCAATATTTTACTGATATAATTATATTATTATTTATTATATTTCAAAAAAATTTAATATAAATTAATACTATTTTATGAATTATGATGTTAAATTTATTTATATTATTATTTATTTATTAATTTATCTTTTTTTATGATTATACAGAACACAACACTTTAAATAATGAATTCATATATTTTAAAAAATTTTCATAAGTATGTAATTGTTATATATATAAGAATTGTGTTAAATTATTTTTTGTGAAAAGGTGCCCTTTAAAAATAATAATCATATTTACTTTTTGCCTTTTTGTATCTTGCATTATAGATATCTTATTACCGTTTCATTACTAATTAATTGTCATAATATTGAATTTTATTAACTTGACGATTCAATTTGATGTTAAAAAAATCAGGAGTAAGTGACGGAAGATTATTTATGTAACTCTTCACTTCATAAAAGTTTTAGTCGTAAAATATTGTTGAAAGACCGTCGGACGTTAAACTCGTGTCGTATACCTTTAGCCTGGAGCGCAACAGGTTACTTTATTAAACCGCAGTAAAATTAACCTGCACGCTTACCATCGAATTTCTACAGTTTAATCACACGGAAGCAATGCAAATTCCTTTAAAGGGCCGGTCTTGCTGAATCTAATTGAGGAACTACAAAATTTACTTATCACATACACAATTATAAATTCTTCTGGTTTCGTTGAGCAGGAAAAGGCACTTTCTTTTGCTCGGTTATCTTTCAGAGAAGTCGTGCTGTATGACGAACTCATCTCTGCTTTTTTAGTATATCTCTGTGGCGCGCTGAGAGAGCAGAGAGATCAATAAAGGTGCGGGGCCAAAAGCTAATCCATTACCGGCATTAAACGCGCACACCGACTTGGGACACATTTCTTTCTTCCTCCCACGTCTCGCCGAGTGAAATATAAAATAATCTTGACTCGTCTGAGGGCCGGGCATGAACGTATCAGCCAAGGAATTTTTCTTTCTTTTTCACATTCATGTGTGTGTAGAGCGCTGTTTCTCCCGATTGAAGCAAAATTTCGGATGTAGGTCACGGCTTGTCGGTGAAGTACTAAACTCCTTTAATTGCATCGTGTATATACTAAAAATGCCAGAGTCATAATGAAATCTTGGTTTTAATTCAATCGCTGCAGGCAACCGCGCGATTTCTTTACGAAAGGACATTTTTATAAATCTTGCAAAATTTTACAAGGCGACACTCGGCGGTTTGCAGTTTAATTTATTTCGATGGTTATTGAATTTACATTATTATCTGATACAAGTTTCGAAAGCTTTTTTTCAACAAAACCGTGACGCAGACTGACGTGATATCGAAAACTAACATTCATTCAGTCTTATTTTTCATATAAATTAATATTTATTTTTATAAATTTTCTCCAAAAAAAGTAAGTGTGAAAAATTTTCATCATTATTATCTGACCAATCGAAATTCCCCAGAATTGCGAGCCAAAATTGTCACATCCCTCTCGACACACCCTTGCTCTGCTATGAGTGGTGTTTGCAGATTGCTAAGGGATTTCGCAGAATTCGGATCAATAGCGTCACTAGGCGTGGATTTTCCCTTTATTAAGCAGACTTCCTTTTCCTCCTCTCTCTAAACAAAGAGAGTCACCGCGTGCAGCTGTCTTTTCGCAAAAGGTGATCTGACCATGGCAGGAAAAAAACGGCTCACCGCGCATTACAAAGCAATTTGAATAGAATTGGATATTAAAATGCATAATGGAAAGTGCGTCAATGCATTTTATGTGCAGTCATTCTGCATTAATTTAATAAAATTTAGAACGATTTAAAAGAAATGTGTTTTTAAACGGTCTAAATAAAAATAACCGTCCGTTTATTCAGTTAAAATTCTATTGATAGAGAGATTATTGAACTCTGGCTAAAGACGCTGTTCCTCATTTTCTGACCACATTGTATTGTTGTGAAGCTGCATTTAGAGCGGCAAACTCGTTACGAAGCCAAGCAAAGTGCATTCAAATCGAACACAGTCCATCTCAGCTGGCGTTGAGTCAGATGATAATTGCGTCGGCCGTCGTTTTATTGCATCGCAGCGAGTGAATCAAACAAGTGCCTTAAGCGTCGTATCTGTGTAATGACGATGGGCCCGGTGCGTGTGTACTTTTCGGTTGCGTCACGAGCACAGCAGGCGAGCCGCGTGGAGATGGATGCAGATACGACGAGACCGGCCGATGCTGCACGCACAGTATATATATTAGGAAAAAAAAACAGGCTTCGGCGCTAGATAAGGAAAATAATGTGCGTGAAAAACAACAGACGAAAAAAAAGAGCTGAAACGGAAATAGAGCGATTGTTGTATCAGATTATCAAACGGTCAAGTTCTTGAGCAAGGCTTAAAAAATAATGGCCTATAAAAATATTACATAAAAAAAAACTATTTTCAGAACAATCTTTTTTGTAAATTTTTCTGATTGTATGTTTTGTAATTGATGGAGAAAAAATTTAAAACAAATAAATAACTATAAATTTTAAGACCGATTTTTACGTCGATTACTGAAGCCGTGCGAGAGATCAAGAAAAAAAATTATCGTGATCAGACTTTTGTTGCCAAAATTTGAACTTTTAATTAAAAATCAATTCCCTGCCAGCAGAAAATGTCTTCTGCTTTCAGAAAATCAAAACTTTCATTAAAACCTCTACACAAAAAAATTCCACAAAAACAAAACAGACACAAGCGCGCTTAAACACGAATTTTACCATTAAAATTATAAAATTTATTTAATTTATATTGTTAATTAAGTTGAATTATTTTAAATGTATTTTTGAAAGTTTCCTCGTTGTAAAAATTGACAAATGGCTCTACAAGTTTTGGTCATGGTCTGAGATTCTATTTCTAGAGCAAGAAAAATTATCAGCAAACTGAAAAACCACATTTAAAAAAGTCAAATTCTTAAATTTAACAAATTTGTTACTACTTTTAAAGATTTTATGAATTTATTAATATGGTTGCAGACCGTGACCGAAACTAATAGAGCCGCATTGTTTTTGAATACATTTTTCACAACGAGGAAAATGCCCGATCTCTTCATATCCACGAAATACGTTTAATAATTTCATGGTGATTTGAACTTAAAATCGGCCTCGATGGTTTTTTGTGAGTTTTTTATTGTTTTAAAAAAACAATATCCTGCTCTGCATATTTCGGCTGCGGGCTGCAGCCATAATTCATGAGCTGCGAAAACATTTTGACAAAAATTAATCTTTTTTCAAAAATTATTTTTCTTTCAAATTGAAAATTTTCCGCGCAAAATTATTTAAATTAACATTTCTTCACAAAAATCCATCGAGGGCAAACCGATTTTAAATTCAAATCACCATGAATCAACCCTGATCGATCGTGAAATTCCACAACATTAAATAATTTATTTACTTCTTCTCCGTTCGATGCAGTCAATTCAAATAAATTAAAAATAAAATTTATTCCAAGTTTAAAACACTAATTGTTCAATTTCTTCAAATAATAAATTTATTCCTCGTTTTCCTCCCAAATCGCGGCGCCGATCAGCAAAATTAGGCCAATTCACTTAGGTTTATAAGTTTTAAGCTCGACCAACCCACATATTCATTTCCCATTGACTGCACTCTCGGATTGTTGGTGCTCAACAATCCACTCCTGCACATACCACCTGCCTCTTTCAATATTTCCATAATCCCCACGTGCATTCTTCACCGCGTCATCTCTCCTGCGCGGCTGCATTCGGCGTTTTTTTTTTTATTTTAAGCTCGAGCTGCAGTGGAGCGGGACTCACCTGACACACTCGTTATATACCTTTCTCGACACGTAACACAATTCCTGCAGCAGCAGGTTACGTTTGTTTGCCTCCAAGGTCACTTTCATCAACCGCCCGCCCGATCATTATCGCGCTAATTTCGCTGCTGCAACGCCGCCCTGCCTTTTGTCTTTGAAGAGATGCGCGTTTGTCGCTAACGAGCGCATCGAAATTGATAATTAATTGTGTTCATAGAAACATTTTTTAATTAAAACCGTGAAGAGAAAGTGGAATTATTCAGCTTGCACATGTATGAAAATTTAATTCTGGCCTCGGAACCCTGATAATTTTTATCCTTGGAGAGTCAAAGTCGAAGTTCTTATTTTGATAAATTTTTTTGAAATTATATAATTTCACAATCGTTGGCTACTTTTCATTTCGTAAAACCGCAAATAGTAATTTAAAACCACAACTGCTCAAGTGTGATGAAATTTAATAAAATTTATCTTAGGAAAGTCTCTCATCTGATTGTGACCAAACCACACCTGGTTAGGGGTTTGGAGAAATTAGCACTTCTTTGTTAATCTCGCAAACTGGGCCAAAGTTAAAATTTCTTTGAATATAGAAGGAGCTCTTTCTGTCGCGTCACCAGTGTCTTTTTGTCCGAGAAGTGCGGCGTCACGGTTGCACGCGGCTCGCCTTGCAGGAGCGAAACTGCTGCTTTTTGTGTGTTTGACCCAGAGAGAGGATAGGAGGAACGTGACGCCGAGACCAAAACTAGTACCGCACTCATTTTCCACCGAGTAAACACACAGAACGAGAGAGCGACGATTTCGTCAAAACATTAAAAACACACGAGCCATGAATTGCGAAAACTGGCATTGCAATTCCGCCGCGCTCGGAGAGAAGAAGAAGGAAAGTTTCCAAACGGCGGTTCTAACACCAAAGACGGAACGAATCGTGTCGCGAATTCACCGCTGTACCTTTGCACTATGGTGAGGGGCAATTTAGCTCAATTAGCACATTAGTGTGTAGGCAAGAGACCATGTTAGGCGCATTTAATTAATATTATACACTAAAGATTGTTTGAAGAAATTGGCATTTGAGAGGAGTCAATTGTGAGGAAATGAAAATGCTAGGCCTGTCTTTCAATGAAAGTTCTTAATTAAACAAAAATTTGATGGTTAAATTTTAAAATAAATTGCAATCATCTTTTATTATATAAGATTTCCTACAGATTTTAATGTTAATTTTATTAACAAAATTCTATATAAATGTTATTGATTTCACGCAACAAATTTGTAATTTTGTAACAATATTTAATTTAAATAAATTTAACTTAACATTTATTCCACTTAACGTAATTGTTTTAAAAATTATTTTATATAAATATTAAAATTTAATAAATTCTACCAATTTATCTTCACATGGAGAAATTTACAATGAAAAAACAATTTTTTTTTTAATTAAAATAAATTTATTTTTATCTACATAAATATTGTAAACAGTCAATTAAACTGTCAATTTTAGTCCAAAAATTATTACAGGTTAGGAAACTTGGTTCTATTATTTCATATTTTAAATTTCTTATCTAAATAGCCCAAAAATTAAAATTTTTATTTTTAAATATCATTTCATTTTCACTGTTGAAATGCAAATCTATTTTACTTACGTGCCAGCAATTTGTGCAAAAATTTATGATCTTACTGTTAGCAGTAAATTGTCAAATTACATTATCCTTGAAATATATTAAGTAAGATCAAATCGGCATGTTTTTTTCGCTTGCCCTTTCCCTGCTATTGATCGTTCTGAATTATGCAATGTTTTATTTTCCCATCATTTTATGCTGCCCGCGGGCCAAATTGAGATCGATGAAGCAAAAATACATAAACGCGCCACCGCACGCGCGTAAATAATGGAATAGCTTTTTGCGGAGGCGGCGAAGCACTTCGCGATGAATAATTTAACCGTCCGGCGCGCATTGTTTTTTAAGTGTGAATTATTGACGCAGGTGGAGGCGATGGTGAGGTCGGCGGCACACCAGAAGGGGGTCGCCGTCGAAACACGACCCTATATCGGACGCGAGTTCCGCTCTGCAGAACCCAGACGACGCGCGGACATCATGGGACATCCTGGCGCGGCGCTTTTATCAGAAGGAGATATCAGAATGGTCAGTTTAAAAATTTATTTTATTTTCTACGTCAAACTTTTATCTGAAAAAAAAAAAAAAAAAAATAGCCAAGGTTGGAAAAATTGGCTTAATTAGTGTTTTTTTTTTTAAATTCTGATTGAATATTTTTCTTGCATTATTAATTAATTGAATTTTGATACAGTTTTATTTGAATGCATTTTTAATTCTTGACATTTTATATATAATTTGTTTTTATTATTTTGCAAATCATAAGATTTCGTCACGAGTCTTTGTGTACCTACGAGCAAAGGTCAAATCAGAAATTCCATTTTTCATTAATAATGCAATGACGCGAGGAAACACAAGAAAGTTCTATCGATGCAATTTCAAATGCAAAATGATCATCATCATTCTCGCCAATCGTTTTAACATATAATTTCCATTCAAAGGGCGCCGAGTTCATTGTCGCTGCCGAGCAGAAGCAAAAGTCTCTGTCGAGTATGTTTTTTCCTCTAATTATCCGCACGCATCATTTTCTAATTAACCCATCAATCACGCAACAGATTATTCGAGCGCTTTCGCGTCAATCAAGGACGAGACGCAGCTCGAGAGTTTGTGGACCGAGTGGCAGCAACAATTGCAGCCGGACGAGGACGATGACTATTCAAACTTTTTGCGCCTCACCGAACAAACTGCGTCTTTGAATAGTAAAAAAAATTCGGAATATTTTCGCGTGCAAAGGTTTTTACAAGGTGCTTATCTAACAGGGGAGCGGAATCTGGAGAACTTGTGGGAAATGCAGACCGAGTGGTCCGACGGATATGCCAAGGCTAAACGCCTGTGGGCAGAGATCGAGCCGCTCTACCTCAAGTTCCACGATTACGTACGCAGAAGACTGCAGAAAATTTATCCTGATGTACCGGAAAACATTCCAGTGCACCTGCTAGGTACATAATCAGATTTAAGAAAAATTAATGCCTAATTAATTAAAATTGATTCTTTAAAATTTTTATCAAAATTTTCACGATAGATTTTACTCAAATTGGCCAAAAAATGACCTATCTTGATTTTCACAAATGTTGTTGGGCTGGTGAGGTAAAATTTCATCACTCGAAAATTTCGGATACTTTTCCGAGAAATCAGATTTCCGAAAAATGCGATAAAAAACAGAAAATATTGAATATCTTTGCTTATATTTTGAAATTAAGTAAGTTCTCTTCGGTGCTAGACGTAAAATTTAACGCCCAACAACTTTTCTGTTGACAACTTTTGTGTAGGTCAAAGGTCAAGGTCACTAAATTGCAAAATTCACTTTCTGACGCAATTTTCGCAAAGATGCACCCCTCAAATATTTTTCGGGGTATAGGAAAAAAAAAGTGTGTAGAACAAAACCTTTGATTTCAAAATGGGATTATTTTTTGTTTTTGAGATATTTTTAAATGAATTTTAAAAAGCAGACAGATAATAGCTTTTTTTGCATTGAAAAACACTACTTTTTTAAATTCATTTATAAATATCTCAAAAACAAAAAATAACCCCATTTTGAAAATCGAAGGTTTTGTTCTACACACTTGGGGCTACATTTTTCCTATACCCCCAAAACTATTTGAGGGGAGCATCTTTGCGAGAATTGCGTTAAAAAATGAAATTTGCAATTTAGTGACCTTGACCTACACAAACGTTTTTAACAGAAAAGTTGTCGGGCGTAAAAAGTTACATCAATATGTAGATAGAGCAAACTTAATTTCTAAATAGAAGCGAAGAGATTCAATATTTTCTATTTTTTTTTGGAAATTTGATTTCCTGGAAAAGCGCCCAAAATTTTCAAGTGAAATTTTAGGGAGCACAGCGTCTTTCTACCCCAAAAACATATGTGAAAATCGGGATGGGGTTCTTTAATGAAAATTTCAGCCAATTGGATTTAAATCTATCGTGAAACCACCTTATTGTTTATTATTATATATATTTTTTGTTTTTAATATTGATAATAATTTTATTTTTATTACTCACAACGTAAAATTAAACAAATTTCCTCGTATTGATTAAAACTTGTTATGTTCTTTGCCTTTGAAGGTTCTCCAGAGGGAGTCGATTGGACTTTCATTGCCAAGGAAACGCTCTTGCAGGAGGAGCTGATCAAAAGTCTGGAATCTGCAATATCACAGCAGGTTGCCAAATTTTAATATAATCCCTTTCAGCATATTCTAATCCACTCCTTTATCCTTCCTCAAACAGAACAAAGAGCAGCTTTATCGACGGGCCCAGCAAATGAGTCACGACTTCGGTCTGCCAGATTTGGGTCGCAGTTTTTGGGAGCAGTCGGAATTCGCCGGGCGCTGCCCTTCCGAGGTCATTTCCGCCTGCAGTGACGAAGGCGTCAGGTGCGAATCAAACTCTAATTAGATCTATTTTTCGCTTATTAAATATATATTTTTTTTTTAATTATAGGGTGGTCACGTGCAACTCGTCGTCACGTTGGGCGGACTATTTGGAAGCAAACGAAAACATCTTCCGCGGGTCGTACTTTAATTTGGCCGCACGATCAAACTCGTACGTCTTCCGACACGGCAACCGCTTCTCCGGTAAGTTAATTTGTTTTCATTAAAAGCTCTCGACCGAAGTTCAATTTTATTGCATCTCTGGAGACGCGTCTTATCGCACAAGAGCCGCACTTGTGACGTCGACAAACAAAAGCGGTCTGAATTGTATTCTTTTCAAGGAGATACTCATATAAGCGCCCTTGGAACGGATCTTTCAGGATTTACAAAGTTCAATCTGACCCAATTAATAATAAAATTGTTCTGCGATAGGCTCGGAAAGGCTTAATTAAAATGTTGCTTTCAATCAACGCATGTGCAGATAAAAAAAAGTGTTTAGATTATTTTAAAATCAATTAAATTGTATATCAAAATATGTAAAGATAAGTACTGGCTTTCCATTGCCGAAGCAGTGAAAGGGTAATTTAAATTTAATTTTAATTAAATGTTTCACTAAAATAATAATTGTTCCAAGATATCCCCAAAGGCGATGATTTTATTTGTTAACTTAATTAATAGCACGTTTTCTGTAAATAATTTTTATTTTAATTATATTAAATTTTAAATATAAAACTTCAACTTTATGCTTTCTTGAATTTAAAAATTTGAAATTTGAAAAAATAGATGCAAATTAAATTAATTACTTTGAGGATAATTTGATAAAGCCCAAAAAATGAAATTGAAAAACTTTGTCCAAGCTTATTTAAGTTATTGTAGAAAATATTTCTTATTAGATTAAAAGCAGAAGGCAAGAAAATTTTGATTAAAAATATTCTGTTTTCTATTTTTATATATTAATATGTGTGAAAAATTAAGTGTTCATGAAGAGCATTACCTGATTTCCAGCTATACCAGAAGCCGTGTCCAGTCTGGGTGGTCTGTTGGCTGCAGCTAGCTCGGTGGACTCGGAAGGTTTGGTGTCTCGAGATCCGTCCGACCCTCTTGGCCAGGCAGTCAATCTGAGGCTGCTGGTTGCTCTGAGGACGCTGCCCCGTCTGCCAGCTCTGCTCGCCGCCGACCTCTGCCGCATCCGCGACGCCCCCTTTCCCTCGCGCCCTCTGCCACCCTCTTGTTGGCAGGACAGGTACGTTCTGTCTCCACCAATCAAATTAACTTGCAAACACGACACCCCTGATATTATTGCCTGTCGACGGCAATTGGCACTTTGATCTACGACGTCGCCACTGATCAACAATTTCAACACCACTTGCGGCTTTGCAATTTATGTCTCGTTGTCAGACATTATTCCTTTAGGTGTCTGGCAGAAGAGCAATTAATTAAATTTGTAAAGACACAAAAAAATTGATTAGTAAATAAAATAAAAAATATTGAATTTCATGCTGAATAATTAATTTTCTATTTTGCAAATTACAGAACAAAAATGCAAAGAGTGGCGCCACCAAGTTCCTTGAGTGGCAAGGACGTTTTTGATCTCTTTGCTGACAGGGCAGTCACCGCAAACGCTCCTCATCTAAGGTAAAAAAGATTTTATTTTATTTCCAAATGAAATTTGTTTGAAGAAGTTGACACTCGAGGAGATGATCATGGATATGAAGAGATTGGGCTTTTCCTTGTTGCAAAAAATTTGCTTTTTATTCAAAAACAAACGGCTCTACCAGTTTCGGTCACGGTCTAAAAAAAAACCACATTTTAACATAGAAATAAAAATCTTAAAACTAATTAGTTCAAATTCAAGTACCAACCTTTTTTTTTGTGCTTTTTTTTTGCTGATTTTATTGTAATTTTCTTGCTCATGAAATAGGGTCGCAGACCGTGACCGAAACTGGTATAGCCGTTTGTTTTTTTAATAAAAACAAATTTTTTGCAACGAGGAAAAGCCCGATCTCTTCATTTCCAAATGAAATAATAATCATTTAAATGGAATTTGGATTTTCAGTGAATTTGCTGGGACGATTCTTCAGTTCCAACTTTATGAATATCTGACCAAGAGTTCTGGTTTGTCCAGGAGGGACTTGTTCAAAATCGGCATTCAGAAATTGCAGGCTGATGATAATTTCAGGTTTGTTTTGTTTTCAATTATTTTTAATATAATTGATTAAAAATTGTTTAAACAGGAGTTTGCTGAGGGGTGGATTGGCACTTCCGTGGCCAAAACTGCTAGAGGAGCATCTGAACATCACCGAAATCAGCACGGCGCCCCTGCTCAAGTTCTTCAAACCCCTTTTGCCGGTGTTCGATGACATGTCGCCCGTGGACGAAATCCCAGACTACGACGCCAACACCGAATACCCTCCGGAGGTGTCGTCATCCTCACCGTCACCGCCACCACCGCCCTCCCCAACCCCCAGAATAAGAGAGGTGAAATCATCGACTCTCAGTCCCAAACCGGAAGTAGTGGAAGTTAGCACCTCTGAAACGGAAACGGATGTTCCGACCGAGTCGAACCTTGCGCAGGACGAGGTCTCCACGTCACAGCCAACGACCTACATCGCCATCGGGGGAATCCTCCTTGGGGTGGTCATTGTTGTGGCGGCCATTTTCATCGTCAATCGGCGCCGGAAGAAGCGTCCGGAAATTCGCAAGTCGAGCAACGGCGCCACCTACGAAGCCGTGATCCGTCGCAGCGCCGGTCGTCCTGCTTCCTTCTCTCCGGTCGTCGCCAAGCGACTTTCCGAGAACGGAAATGAACCCCCCTTACCCCTGTTTTCAACGTTTTCCAGCTCAACCGAGTCACCCGAGTCACCGACGGAAAGCATTCCTCTCGAGGAAACCAACGGAAAGTTGAGTAATTGATTTTTTTTCCTCAAAGAAGGAGGAAGACTTTGTTATGCGAATATTTATTAACTGCAAGTGTGTGTTGATCAGAAGATGATTTTTATGTTATGATGTTCGTTGTTAATTAATGCTTGGCATTAATTGTAAGTAGCATCCAAATAATTAATTAGGCTAATCTAAAATTGAGGCCAATTGTAAATTTATAAGTTTCTAAATCAATTGTATAATTTTTACAATAATTTCTCGTCAAAAATTATCGCGATTCCAACGTCTCATGTTATTTGTTACCCAGTTTGTGTGTTTCCGAACTGCCAAAATATGTGAGACTTCAGTCCGCCCTATTACGCTACACTTTGTGATATTAGACGTAACCTTCGTGTGCGTGAGTCCTAGGAGAGTAAGTGCGTTTTCTCATTCTACTTGCTAATGACGTTGCAAAGTTACCATATGAGAGGCAAAAGCAAGCAGAGTGGCGTCCTAGTATTCCTATTTTTGGAAGAAGTTCTTTTTCGCGACGATATATGTTTTTATAATTGTCTTATAAAGAAAACTAAGAGTTTTTTTTAAATAAAAATCTTCCTGAAATTCCCTTAAAAGTTCCATATAATATTATATATATTTTGTTGTAAATAAACAGACAAATTTCAAAAATTTTTTGTTTACTGTCCCCACCTTTTCCTTAATTGGTACACAAATTTTAGCGGAAGTTTTTTTTTTTTTAATTACGTTACTGCTCAAGAAGGGGTTCTTCAGGGAGCATTTCAAGCACGGCGATTGCCTCTGGTGGCACCAGAGCTCTCAACTTCTCGTTTTCGATCTTGATCAATTCCACCTTCTGCTCGTATTTGCTCTTGAGGTCTTGGAAGATGCGCAGCTGGTTTTCGTACTCGTTCTTAAGCTCTGCGTTCAACTTCACTGCCGTCTCCATTTTCGACAAAACGGCGCTACGACGCTCCTTCTCGGCCAGCGCGTGATCCTCCAACAGTTTAATCGTTGTCTGGAAATTAGAAATAAATTAAAAATTAATAAATAAAATACATAACACATTTTATTTGGATGACGGATAAATAGAAAATTTTGATCTGTTTAGTTTACTCTAATGAAAGTAATGCAAAATTTAAACAACTTAAAAAACTCTTTCAAAAAAAAGGTCACACATTTTTTTTGTTGTTCCTTTTTTAGATTATAGTACATATTATTAGATGATAGTTGATAGTACATTGAAATTTTTATTTTTATTAAATGAAAAAGAAAACCTTCCAAACTAAGCTGCTTTTTAATTTGTTTTTAATAACCAAAAACATTATGAGAAAAATCCCACTTAAATGTTCATTTTACTCAAGAGGAATTTTTTTCTCATCATTTAAATATAGAAAATTTGCTTTAAGTTAGCTTAAAAAAATGTTTACCTTAAAAAAATAAATTATTTGAGAATTAAAATAATACCTTAAGTTGGTCTGTTTCAAGCCCCCTGATGTTAAGAAGTTCCTTGTGAACGGCCACGACCTCTTTCAGCGCCTTGACCTGGCTCTGCAGCTGCGTGTTTTGCCTTTGGAAACTCTCGGTCTGTATAGTTGATGACTTCAGAGTGTCCGTCATGTTGTCTAAAGTTTCCTGTTCAAATGTCATTTGAAGAATATAAAAATTTATTTAAAAACAAAATCAAACTTTAATTGTTGCTCTTTCATTATCGGTCAGCGCCTCAGAGCCTTTTTTCGCCACGTCCAATTCCGCCTCCAACTCGGTTATCCGTTTCTCGGCCAACTGAAGTTTATTCTTGTAGTTTTCGCGGTCCTCAGTGCGAATCTGCAGCTCCTGCTCCAGTCGCTGCACCTTGGACGTCAAGTTTTCCTCCGCAGTCCCGTTGGTCTGTTTCTGCTCTTGGCTCAGCGTCTCGGCCAGTTTGTGGTTTTCACTCTCAGCCTGCAACGCGACGCACGAAAATAAATTTGAGATAAGAGAAGAGAGACACGGTCAGACCTCCTTCTGTAGGTTTAAGAGCTGCTGAATCTGCTCCTGGAGGGTGGCCACTTCTTTGGCCGCCGTTTCCACGTCACCCAAAGTTGGGACGGGTGCTGTGTCTGTCCCGTTCTCCATAGTCCCTTCTGACTCCCCACCTTCTGGATTTCCTGCAGATTTAAATCAGTGATGAAGAATGATTAAAATTTCTGTTAAATCTTATAAAAAAAAAATTATGATATTTGATTTAATTAAAAATAGCTATAAGTTCAATTTTATGTTTTATTTATAATTAAATAATAAAATTCAATATATTATTTTATTAGAAGAAGTTGACACTCGAGGAGATGATCATGGAAATGAAGATTCGGGCTTTTCCTCGTTGCAATAAAAACAATTTTGCAACGAGGAAAAGCCCGAATCTTCATTTCCATTATTTTATTATTTAAAAAATATAAAAACTCAAAAGCTGCAGAGCTTGCTTTCCATTTTAAAGAGATTTCTAAAAATAGCATCAAGTCATTAATAACGTAAAACAAACTTTAAGAATTTCACAGTTTCCCCTTTCAAACTTGACGTATTTTGACTTTTCATCAAACTGATTTGCGATTACTTACCCGCCGCGTTACCTATTCTGCCCGCCGGAAAGGAATTCTCGTCAAGGGAGGAGGATGAAACTACGGAGTTCGGTGCTGATGGCGAGTGCCCCTAAGTCTCTGAATCGTTCCTAGTGCGCAGGAAGTCACCGCCTGTGCCGCCAGACTGGCCAACTCATAAACGAAACAACTCATAAATCTAATTTCGCTCCTCTTGCCAATCTTCATCTAACATCCCTGAAACCGCATTTTTTAACTTTTTCGCACTAAAAGTTTCATTCAAATTGGAATAAAATATCAATTTGTTTATTTGAAGTATTTGGAATAGAGTTTGTTGGCACCGCTTTTTGCTTTCTCCGTCTTATAAACATAGAATACGCTATTTCAGGCTGGTGCTATTAATAGCGTACACACGGCGCTCTCCGTGCCTCCTCCGCCGTTCATCTGGCTCCCTCCCGCAGAGCTCGATTTTACGTCGAAAACAACTCTTACTGAAAAATAATTTCGCAGAAACATTAAAATTCGCCATTAATTGTTGCCGAAAAAGCACTTGGTAGTTTATTCTACTTTTTGGCGCTCTATTATTAGGGGTGGCTTTTTGGTTTGCAGGGGTGTTGCCAGATGTCTCTCTGGCGGGTCGGGTCGGAGCTTTTCTCCACAGAGAGCGCGAGAATTGACTCCTGAAAGCAATAAGTATGCAACCGGCTCGGCGTAGTTGCCCTTGGTGTTGCGTAACACTCGAAATTGCAGGCGCTACTCACTGTCAAGAATTATAATGAAATTTTTAAATTTTTTAATCTTCTGTAAAAAGGAAATGTTAAAAATATAGATTGCTAGAGAAACACCTAGTTTTTTAAACTGTTTACAATTATTTTTATATTTATTTTATTTTTATGTAAAATTATAAATTAAATTAAAATAACAAAAAAAATCATTAAAATTAATTGATAGCATTTCAAAATATTTTGATAATTTCTAATAAAAAAGCGAAAAAAATATTGCTACTTGTCTGTAATTTTGTATAAAAAATTTTTTTTATATTATTTAGAATCTGCATGTGCCACTATCGCATCATACCATTATTATAAATAAATTGATACCAATTCTTCTCTCTCTTCTAATTCCAACCAAGAAGATACGCAGATTATCTCACCCTAAAGTTCCTCCTGCAAGTCGTTATCATTTTAATACCTGGCGCTCATTCGTCTTGGCCGGGGGTGTTCTTATATATTTTTTCCGCCTCCATTAGCTTAATGACGTGTGTGTTCCCTCGCCGGCAATTTATTGCGCCTTGTTTTTTATCTTTTGGAGGTGCGCGCAATAAATTAGCAACCGAGAAATAAATTAAGAAAAGCCGCCGGTTGTTTCCGCACGGCTGCATATCTCGCAGGCGTTCGGGTAAATATACAACCAGGGCGGAGAGACTTCTTGCTTATTTACAGCCGGCTCTCGTCTGATAGGTTGCTTCGGGCGAGAATTATTTGTTGCTAAACTGCAAGACTAGAAAAACCTTTAAAATTTTCATGCAATTATAATTTGTAGAAATTTAGGGGAGAAAAATAATTTTAATTTGTTTTGTTTTAATTTGCTGTATTAATTGAAAGGTTTTATACCGAATCCTTTTTCCAAAATTTATCTCGTTCCGTGGGCGGACAGCGGTGGACAGAATCTGGAGACCATAATTCAATTTGCAGGTCCCACTGGTTTTCGTTCCCCGGCCGATTTATCTCGTTTATCCGGTGCGATATTCGATTCATTTTCGTTGCTGCCGCGAAAAAGGGCTGCGGTGTGAAGTGCAGGAGGGCCAACGAGGTTAATCCGCGCGTTCGGCCCGACTTAATCATTGTTTATGGCGCAGTTATGCCTCTGGTGTGTCAATAGCTATAAGCGGAAAACGGCCCTTTTATGTCCTCTCGTAAAGAAACGAACGTCACGAGAGTGCGCGCCAAACAAACAAACAAACATAAATATCGCGAGTGCGTATTAACGCCCGTCGCAATTTTTTTTCGCCCTAGCAAAAAAATATTTTCACAACTCTCTTGTGCACATACATAATCCTCATATTTCAGGTATGCGTTTTCGGGCGATAAATCCAAGACGTGCCAACCCTAATCTCGGCCGACCTTTTTCACCGTGGCTGGAGATATGATAAGTGGAGAGTTTTTTCCTGCTGAGAAGAGAATTCGCGGTTTTATACGACTTGGCCCGTTGTTCTTGAGTGAAAAAAACCTGAAACTTGATGCGAAAAATTAAAGTTTGATAATATTTCGCTGAATTCAGGTTTTTTAGTAAGAAATAATGTAATTTACATTAATCAGGTGATAAATAGTATCAAAATATTGAGATTTAATATTTGTTAATTTTTTCAATTAATGATATTGACATTGACAGTGAGAGAACTGAATAAAGGGAAAGGACAATCTAAGGGATGGTATATATTGTTTATACAAATTGAAATAAATTAATAAATGCTCTTTGAAACCAATTATTAAATTACAAAATTTTATTTTAATGGAAAATATAATACTGTGTATTCTTGAATCTTTAATAAAATTGTGATTTAAAGAGATTCATTCAAGATATTAAATAAATAATTTGTAGTATATATTTTAATATACTTTTATTATAAAAACGATAAAAACATTTAATATTTTAAAATAAATATTTTAATAATTGAAATAAGTAATAATTGTTATACAATTTATCAAAGAAGCTATTTTTCTATCAAGTGGTTCCTCTTTTGGAGTGAAAAACAATGTTTTTGAAAAACGGATGTCCCGAACGCTCTTCACCACTTTTATTTTCGCTCCCTCGTCTTCCTTTTCCGTTCGGAAGGTCGTTCCGAGAAGTAGGGAGCGGTGAAATCAGCAAAATCAGCGCGCATTAATCCGTCGGCGATATTCTATGAGGGCGCCCCTGCCCCGTCTCTGATATTGGAGAATCGGCAAATTTCACCCCAACGTGTGCCGTGCGGGTTGCACCGCACAACCCTTTCCACCACACAGATCAAACAAACGGTCTCTGATTGGAAACCTTTCAAACCTTAATTACGACGGCGTCCGTCCGAAAAAAAAGGAATAAATTTCTCCTTTTTTTTGTCAGCAGAGGGGACATAAAAATGAATGATGCAGCGGAGACTTGTGCATAATGCCGCGAGAGTTTGGTATTCAAGACGTGGCGCGGCTGCCGCTCCGCTCTTATTGAGATTTATGAACTGCTCTTATTACACACCGCCTTTTCTTTTCAGCTGGGAAAAATGTCACGGCGCAATTTCCCGGATTAATTTTTCCCGGGTCGTTTTTTATATTCCTCAATCCAGCTGATCAGCACGTTTTTTTTATTCGGCAGGAAGGAGGGCCAAAGTTTTTAATGTATTCAAAGCGGAAGGTGTCACTGCTTGCCTAAGGAAAATACTTTTCCATCTCTCTCGGTGCCGAGCAAAATATATCGCGCAGTCGTGTCGATTCGCAACTCGTGTGCGTTTCCTGTTTGCCCCGAAGTTCTTCTCAAAACTTTTGTCAGCTAGGCAGAAAAACTATATAAAAAGTTTGGACGCGCCCTTATATTCTCGACTCTTTTTTTTTACTCGTTCTCTTCGATCCGACAGGAGATGCACCGAGCGCGTGGCAAAAAATTCCCTCTTTTTTTGCGCGTAGAGAACAAAAGTGGCCGTGTATTGTGTGTTGCATTTCCAGTTAATGATACCGAGGCTCCCTGCGGGCAGATGTACGCACGCATTTTGTAATGATTCGTCCGCTTTTGTTCGGTGGAGGCAAAAGCGCGAGGGAAATCAAACCACGAGCTGATGTTATTGAAAAGACGAATGCGTGCGTTTCCCAAGTGGATCAATTGAACAGGGACAAGATGGACCACAATTGATGGAAGCTGAATTGTGTATATAGGAAGAGAGGGAAAATGTTCCAAAAAATTAAACATTTGTTCAAAAGTCTAAAAAGAACTAATTAAAAAATTAAAATTTTCAATAATTGCTGTTTCTTTTTTACTGCTTATTTGTTCAAAGTTAGAATGAAACATTTTTTTGGAGAGTAATAATTATTAAAAATAACGAAAATCCATTAAGTACTGAATATCTATAAATGTTTCGTTTCGTCTTCCGACCAAAGGCTGCGCATCCCAAAATTATGTTGGTACACGGCTGCCGTCAGAGCCATGGGGCCTTATGGCTCGGGCGGAAGACATCTTTTTTTTGGCCAACATAATAGAGCTGATGCGTGGCATTTGCTTCCGACGAGAAAAAAGCTCATGAATTAGGGTTGCAAACCCGCAACTGAAATTGGAAAGAGCACCGAGATTTGCTGTATCATGCAGAAACTATAAAGTTGCTCATCTTCACCGAGGAAGCCGGATTTTATTTCATTAAAAAAAAAGTACTAAATAGCATCAAATGGTAAAAATGCATAGAATGAACCTTTTGAGGCTGGTTAATTCCTCAATTTCATTTAACTTAAATTTGCATTGATTTCATAAATATGTAATATTAGATACAAATGGAACAATTATTGACATTACCAAGTGTTAGGTTTAACTGGGTTTAAAATATTAGAATTTTGTTGGAAAAATTTATATAAATATTTATACTATGCATTTTATTAAATGCTCAATTTTTTTTTCAGCTTATACATACAACGTATTTACATTATGATCCAAAAGACTTGAATAATAAAATGTATTATAATTAGCAATAAATGATATCAGTTGTAAAAATTGCTAGTTTAAATTAATAAATATTGAAAAACTTTAAATTTTATTATATATTAAATTATTTTGCAAACTCTTTTTCTATAATTTCATTTCATTTATTCTCTCGCAACAAGTCAAACAAAAGTAGAAAAATCACATTGGGAGAGAATTGGCAGCCAGCTCTGGTAAACAACTTACTAAAACTCGTAGGCTCAATTTGGAAGCAAAAGTGTTTCCAACTTAAACCTACTCGCCGAACTGGAGCCGTAAACGGGAAAAAGATTTATCAAAGGGTTACATATATATTTTGCATATATTTATTTTAGATTTATGAGCAAAAGAAACTGTTTTTTTTTTAAATTTAATTAAAAAATTTGTCGCTACTGAATCTTAAAATTGAGATAGGGAAAAGTGCCATGGCGCGGTTCTGTATAAAATACAGCAGCAGGGAAAATTTAGCAAGTTCGCTTATCACATCGTG